AATATATCCATTCATTAATGAAAAGAAAAAATTATATATTCTATGCTGAAGGATTGGAGAAAATCAGATGGATTCAACGTTTATTCGGATACGATATTATTTTATATAATTTAGATGATTTAAATTGTCCAAATTGAAAGAATTTATATATTAAAAATACAAATATAAATACTTGTAAATATCATAAAAATTCTATGATATGCGTTGAAAAAAATGTAATAATATTAAGAAACTTTATTTCTTCCTTAAATATCTAATAATAAATAAAAAATACATAAGTAATTATAAAACTTTATTTTATTTCAAACTAATTTGTTTGTTCTCATCATCAACATCTGCAGACTTTTCCATTCATATGTGAAAGATTAAGAGATTTCGTATTATTTTTGAATTTGTTAGACATTTGGTGACTCTTTTGAATTTATTAAATTTGTCTTTCAATGAATATAAACGAGAAAAACAAGTATCTTAATCTTTTTCGAAACGATGTATTATTAATATCTCCTGCTTCCTGTATCAAAATATGAGTTTTCATAAAAAAGTATGCTTAAGAACTTTTCTCACTAAGTTAGCAATATATGAATGAAAATGCTAGATGAATAAAACATTTAAATATACACATACTTTTATAAGCATTTTTTTATATGTTTATGTGGGATTCGTTATCGTCCACTTGGCGTTACTATACTTATTAGGCAAACAATGATGATGAAATCAAGATCAAGGCTATTTATAATATTAGCATTTGATTTGACTCATATAATAAAATTTAAATAGGGTAATAAAAAATAAATATATTCTTTGACAGCAACATTGAGTTTAAGATTATTTCCACATTTTTTATTGAATCATATTATGAAGCATAAAATAGATTACTAAAGTATATGTATATTTAAATATGTTCTTTATCAACAGTTCACCTCAATGCTTTTTATATAGTTATGAAATGTGTATAAATATACTAATACTGTACATTAGAAATTATTACTTTGTTTAAAGCTACTAAAACACATCATGCCTGGAGTAAATCGAATCCTCAAGAGCGAGCATCATGGAGAGTACAACTTCGATTTTGAATTGGAGATGTTGTGCTTTGAAGACATGAAAAACCCTTATATATGTATTGAAGATGAAGATGAGGGTCCCCGGTTACAGGTTTTGGGCATCCCAGTCAGAGCAACCCATGCTTTTTTAACAAAAAATGGGATGAAGAGGATGACAATATCAAATTTTTAACAGTGGTTGGCGTTGAAATTGAGGAGTATATTATGGAGCAACACCAAAACCAACATGAATATAAAAGAAGGGGTTTAGATATTAAGACCAAGTTAAGGTATTATAGTAGAACAAATAGGGAAGCGATATATGATATAGAAGTTTATTCTAAAT